CTTCCTGGACCGGGGCACGAACCCGTGTCCCCTGCATCGGCAGGCAGACTCTCAACCACTGCGCCACCAGGGAAGCCCGTGTCTCATATCTTAATAAGAATTATCACCTTTACAGATTACAGCCATCACCAACTAACATCCCATTCAATTAACACACCTTTGGCTCTCCACATTTCTTAGTGATACCTAGTTTTTGCAGGCCTGTCTTGTCTCCTTTATGAAATTGAAAAAGCTTGCTTCTCCCATAATCCTTGTTGGATGAACAATCTGGTCCATTCACAGGCCACTAGGCATGCTGTGCATATCCTTATCTTTACACATTTGCTTAGGTTGGCTTCATCGTCTGAAAATATCTTACCCCTGTCTCTAACTCTCAAAATGAAGTCCCACTTTCCCCATGAAGCAAGCCTCTTGTGATTACTCTAAACCACAGATGTAAATATTTTTACTTAGAGCCTGGATTTGGAAACACTCATTTGACCAAGCTGTTCTATTTTAAGAAATGAATAACACCTTAATAAACTATCAATTCTCTGTACTAATATGCAAAAAATATTTTAAAATATACTACTTTTTAAAGAATATCAGATGGCCTCAATCACATTTTTTTCTTAAAGTGAAGACTAAAACATATTCAGACTAACTTCTCAAACTAACTTCTATTCAGACTATGTATTAATAATATTAAGAATTATTTACTGCTACTATTTATTAAAAACATCAGATACTTTGCTAAATGTTTCTATACTGACACTAGTATTTCTCACAAAAACTCCTGAAAGTAGGACTATTATTTTCATAGTAAGGGCAAGAGAATAGTGGGTCAGAAGTTACTTTTTCAACAAGGGTCAGAAGAGAATTCAAACCCAGATTTATTTAATTCCAAAGCCTGTATTCTTTGCATGACACCAGCTGAGTCCTAGTGATATAGGCAGCCAGCCATGACACAGAATATCCCATAGCTAACCTACAACTGACATGTAGGTATCTGGCTCTAAACTGTAAACTCAATTCAATTTGGATGTAAATAACTTAAGAACACAGACTACAGGGACCAATAACCCATGGAAAATAGGATCATTTTCACTATAAGAAAAAAAGTTATCAGAGTTATGGGGAGAGAATATGGTCACATATGCCAACGTACTGTAGGGA